GGACAGTGAATAAGGAAGACCGTAGAAGAATTGATGCTTTTGAGTTATGGTGTTGGAGGAGAATACTGAAAGTACCATGGGCTGCCAAAAGAACCAACAGATCTGTGCTGGAAGAAGTGCAGCCAGAGTGCTCCTTGGAGGCCAGGAGAAACTTTGTGTCTCAAACTTAAGACATATTGTCACGAGGGACCAGTCGCTGGAGAAGAGGAAGAGGAAGACCCCCAACGAGATGCATTGGGTACGTGGCAGCATTGATGGACTCAAGCGTGGCAATAGTAGTGAGGTTGGCCCAGGATTGGGCAGTGTTTCGTTCTGCTGTGCATAAGGTTGCTATGGGTCAATACCGATTCGATGGCACCTAACAACAACAACAATGGGCTCAAGTGTGGCAACAATTGTGAGGTTGGCCCAGGACCCGGGTAGTGTTTCATTCTAGTGTGCATAGGGTAGCTATGAGTCGTCACCTAACAACAACAACTCAGCAGCCTGTTCAAGTTTCTGAGATGGGGGCGAGGGGAGCTAAGTAGGAAGGTAATTCCACCAGGCTTTAGGGTCACTTTCTGGTGCTATACAAAGAATGAGTGCTAGTTTCTCCCAACAGGGGTTAGTTTAATTACCACCAACATACCCAAATCCCCATAATGAAAGTCCTGCTCCATTCAAAGTTCTAAGTGGAGACCTTTATGAGCTTTATGAGTCATACCTGACCCATTGAGCCTCCTCAGGTTTATGTGAGCATGGGAGGGGCTGAGGCTGGGGACTCTGATGAGTCGCAGGATGTCCTTGCTCTTAGAACCCGTGACCTTGAAGATGAAGAGCGTGTAGGCTCAGTGCCTCTGAAACAACTACCTGGTCACTGCTTTACAACACGTATCAGCATTTAGGTTTCTCGTCTAGGCGTCTCTCCGGTCTTCAGTGACAAATTTTCATAAGAACAAGTGCTTGGCTATTTGCTTACATATTAGCTCCCCCTGCCCACCCTCATACCATGAAAATACATAGGCCTTTGACTGTGTGAGCTGATCTAGTCAAGTGAAGGCATGACCAACTTTAATTCTAAATAAAGTTTTGAAAATCCAAAGAGTTTGCTTCTGGGAACTCAAAGACCAGAATGCACTCAGCTCATACCACTTGGGTTTTTGAGGGTTTACTCAGCTAGACTAACAGCCAAACAGTATTACAAATCTTCAGGAAAACCACTTCTAACACCTCCCATGAAAGCCAACTATTTATAAATGAGCTCCAAAGTTTTTCCAGTAGCTTTTCCTTGGCATAATGATTAATAAAGAGAAAAGGGGTAGGCTTGGTTCTGAGATAACTTTAGATTCTGACTTGCTTATAATTCCTGTTTTGGTCAGTATATAATTTGGCCCATGTGGGCAAAATTCTTTCTACAACACTGTAGGTACTTATGTGAAAAACTCTTAGAGCATGCTCTAAGAACATTCCTAGATGTTGGGGGAAAAGGTGGGGGTGGTTCACATGATTAATAATACTTAAGATGGGAGAAAGGAATGCATGTGGTTTACCAACCTAGGTAGTGTTATAGGATCACCACTGGACTGCAAACCCCAAGGTGAGCAGTTCAAACCTACCAGTTGCTCCTCAGAAACTACATAGGATTGCTATGAGTCAGAACTGACTCGATGGCAATTACCAACAACAACAACAACAACAAGGTCAAACCCCTGATACACTTTTGAGTTCCAGCCGAGCTCACAGACATAGATTTATCATGGAGCATGGATGGAAGGTCGTGAAGAGTATAAATGACTGAGCAGGCACCTCAGAAAGGGTGACTTGCTCTATACTTATCATTTCACACGACCTGAGATGAGTGCACTGACAGAAATCATGATTGCCAACACATAGCACTTTCTGAGTTTCCTCCCTCTTCAACTCTAGACTAAGATGTGTCACGTGATGGAACCTGATGCCATGAGTTTTAAACTATCTATGGACACAAAAACAAACCTACTGCTATCAAGTCAATTACCACTCACAGTGACCCCATGTACTGCACAGAGATTTCAATGACTATCATTTTTACAGAGGCAGACATGCAGGCCTTTTTCCCCTGGTACTGCTGGGTGATTTGAACCTTCCACCTTTAGGTCAGTTCTACCCAGAGACTTCCTTTGTCTGGCTTTCTCTCCTTCACATGTCCTTAGGTGAAGCAATGATTGAGTGATTCTCTCAACGTGATCTTCATGCCCTCTCTTTGGGTGGTGACTGAGCTTCCAAGTCCCTCCCTGGAGCTCCCTGCAGGGTCACCATGACATCTAGCCATTTCAGAGTCTGTGACACAAGTGGCTCCCAGACCACTCTGATATGAAAATGCAAGTTGGATGCATCAAAATACAAATCATTCTTCGTCAGTCAAAAATCAAATTGCTGAGCAAAGGGATTCCTATCAAGATTTTTATTGGTATGGAACGTGCCCTGAATGTACTTAGAAAAGGTAAACAACCTGTTTCATACTGTGGATTTAATTTTTTCATTTCACAAATATATATGGATCATCCGTTGTACACCAAGTTTGTACTAATCCCTGGAAACAGTGTGATCAGACAGACAGAAATCTCTGTCATTATAGGGGGTCAAATATGTCATTATAGGGGGTCAAAGAAACTGGTCAAATAAGGAAATATGTTCATATGGTATATCAGCTAGTGATTAAGGTGATGGAGAAATGTAAGCAAGAAAGCAGAGCAGAGGATTCTGGGCAGAGGCTGGTCTCATCCAAAACGGTCTCATTGAGAAGGTGAGATGTGAACAAGCATCTGAAGGAGGGAAGGAAGTAGTCATGGGGGCTGCTGGGGGAAGGGCATTCCAGGTAGAAGGAAGAGGCAGTGTAAAACTTTTGATGTCGGAGAGTATGGGGTGTGTTCCAGGATGGATAAGGAGGAGAGTGGCTTGAATAGAAAGACTGGGGAAGAACAGGAAGAGATGAGGTCAGCGAGGTGAGAGCTAGACCCACTGGACTTGTGAGCAGAGTTATGACAGGCATGTTAGAAAGACAGCTCTACTGCTGTTTCGAGAATGGACTGTAGGGGTCAGGGCCGACGCAGGAGGCTACAATAGCCCATATGACAGATGATGTTGCTGGCAGTGGCCAAGGAAAAAGTGGCAACATTTTAGATTTGTGATGACATTAAGATATGCTAATGGACTGGGTGTGAAGTATGGGAGAAAGGAGTCAGAAAAAGAAAACACAGCTGTTGAACGGAGCAATAGGAAAAGTGGGAGAGCATTTGCTGCGATGGGGAAGGTTGAGGGAGCAGCATATTTGGAAGCAAACTATTAGGAGTACAGTTTTGATTAAGGCTGAGAAACCTGTCAGGCATCCTGCCGGACATGGTCTGCAGGTGGCTGTCTATGTTGTTGTTAAGTGCCATGGAGCCAGTTCAGACTCATAGCAATCCTGTAGAAAGTTTCCGAGGAGTGGCTGGTGAGTTTGAACCACTGACCTGGTGGCTCAAACCAACCTTGAAGTCCAGTGCTTATCCTATAGTGCTACACCAGGACTCCAGCTGTCTGTAGATGTCTGGAATTCACGGGCGACAATGTCTGGGATTTGTGGTCAATATTTGGTGTCATCAGCCGAGACTGAAATTAAAGCCATGGGTCTGGGTGAGCTCTCTAAGATGGAGATAGAAGGAGGCCCTGCGTGCTCTTACTGAAGTTGGGGAGATAAGGAAGAAAGCCAGTGAGAAAGGAGAAAAGAGGGGAACGTGAGGTCCGGGACACCACAGAAAGAGTGTTTTTCAAGGATGAGGCTGGGCATGAGCATGGATTCGTAGTTATCAAGGCTCGCTTGAGATAAAATCCCCTTCAGCTGCAAATATAATCCTTATAGAGAAATATTAATTACATAAAGTCTGGTCTATTGTAACATTAAATTCTTGTTCTCAGATTCAATCATGTATTGATCATCAGTACACTGCATTAAATCTTGCTCTTCTGAAACGTTGCTTTTCCTTTTTAAAACTGTCAGTTTGTACTGTTTTATTCTTGTTTCAAAAAAAAGTCATTTCTAACCATGTACATAATTTTCTGATCTGTTCTTATCCATTTGGCTAGGTGGTCTAGATAACAGCTGTTCAGCATCTTTGATTAAAATGAATCAATCTTCTAATTATTGCAAAAAATTATCCACAGTTGACTCAGGATCAGATACAGTTGTTGCGTTCTCTGCATGTAAATCTGAGATCAGATACATTTGTCTTTCAGGCCAATTCCTCATCCTCTAAGTATCAGTGAGCCTTCGAGAATCTTTATGAACGGTATGGATCTTCCTGTTAAAGTACATGTAGGACTTCAGACAACCACTGCGGTTTCCCAGTAAAGTCTGTTCTGTCCTAGGAATCGGGTTCACAACCAACCCTTCCCATCACCTCAAATAAATCTTCTTATGGTATTACTCAAGGAGCTCTGGTAGCGTAGTGGTTACGAACCGGGCTGCGAACCTTAAGGTCAGCGGTTCGAAACTACCAGCCGCTCCGCGGGAGAAAGATGAGGCTTTCTACTCCCGTAAAGATTTACACCCTTGGAAACCCTGTACAGGGTCGCTATGGGTTGGAACCGACTCGACGGCACTTAACAACAACAACAACAACATGGTATTACTCAAACTTTCTCAGTGTAGCCACTCAGATATCATGGACCCCCCCCTCCCCCCCAGCTTTTCTACATGTGGTTCCAAACTGTAGTTGAGCTACACTTTCTGGGCCCTTGGGATAGATACAAAATGTGAACAGGCAGGCTCAAGTCTGAAAACAACAGCGAAAATAGATTAAGAACTCACCACCATCTCCTGGATATGAAACATTTCTGCACCTCCAGAGGACAGTCGATTGGGGAAAGAGATGCTGACAGATGACCCAGGGAGGGTGCTCGGCCCAGTGTTGTAGACCTGTGGGCATGAAACACACACAGCAAACTGAACGCAACCAACAGACCTTCATTTTATGCTACGCAATTTAGAAATTTACTCAGCAACGGACGACGTTTGGTGGGAACTCAGATAAAACCTAGTCCAAGGGCTTCTCATACTTTAATACATCACTCAGTGGGCTTGTTAAAATGTAGATGGGGTTGGAGAAGGCTCATGCCCAGAGTTTCTGCATCAGGAAATCTGGGGTAGGACTGGAGGGTTTGCATTTACAGCCAGTTCTAACAACATGTGGCTAACTGCTGGTACCGGAATAACAATTTGAGAACTAGTCCAAGCCTTCCCTTTATAGTTTAAGGTCACTTAAATCCATAAAGACTAACTTATCCCCAAACTAGCGATCTCACTTAGAGATAAGGCTGTTTTCAGCACACTGTCCAGCAGCTTGGTACTTTGGCAACATCAGTAGTACTTACGATGCATCTGTACACCTCTTTTCTGTACCTGCTTGTGGTCCTCTAAAACATAATCACTCTCCTCTAGTCTGTCACACTCATTATGCTTTGTCTCCAGAAGCCAATCACCTCTCAAGAAATGGGAGAAAAAGTCAGCTACCACAATGAACCCAGTGAGAGGAAATGGAGCAAAGGCTGAACATCAATCTCAAGCAAGAAGTGGAATATGAAGGAAAATAAAAACAATGAGCATCACTCTGAAGACAGGAAGGAGAACAGTGATTGTCTTGGGCTATGAATAATGAGGACTGTGGGAGGTAAAACAATAGCCCCTCTCCCTTCAAAGACGCCAACACCCAAATCTCTGGTATCTGTGAATCTGCTCTTAAGTGGCAAGGGGAAATGATGATTCCAGATGAAATTAAGGTTGCTAATCAGCTGACCTTCATACTGGATTAGCTAGTAGGGTACAATGAAATCACAGGAGTTTTTAATTGGGGATGAGGGTGGTAGAAGGGACATGAGAGATGACATCGTGACAATGACTGGACTGGTCCATGCTGACTTTGAAGATGGAAGGGGGCTGGAAGTTAAGTTCTGTGGGTGGCTTCTGGATGCTGAGAGAGGCAAGAAAACAAATTCTCTCTTAGCGTCTCCAGAAAGGAACCCAGTCCTGCCGACACATTGGTTTTTAGCCCAGTGAGGTCCATTTTGGACTCTGAGCTCCAGAACTGGAACGTGTGGTGTTTTAAGACACTAAGTTTGTGGTCCTATGTTACAGTGGAAATAGGAAACTGAAATGGCGTTAATGGTACGAGGTTTCTCGTTAAGAGTGGTTATCACATTCTACAAGTTGTGATAGTTGTACCATTTTGTAAATGATCTAAAAACACATTCAGTTAAAACACTTTAAATGGGATGGGTAAACTGTATGATATATAAATGATATCTCAATAAAAAGTTACACACACTCACACACACACACACACCAAAAACCCCCCCCCCAAAAAAACAAAAACAGATGAGCAGGCGCAAAAGAGAGGAAGAAAATGACACAATGCTCCATGGCCTGGGGACTTGAGAAAGAATGCAGGACCTGGGGCCTTCTCATGATGAGGTCAGAAGGACAGAGGGAGACAAAAGAGGTGCTGGAAATGCCAAATAGGTCTTGTCTAGACACATGACAGAATGTGTGCATATTGTTCCTAGAAAACTGTGTTCATTTTCTTGCAATAATTGATTCTGCACCACAGAACAGACAAGAAATGATACAGCAGAGGAGTGAATGTTGCCAACTCCTGATTTTATAAGATCAAAACTCACCAAAAGCAACAACCCTAAGACATAAGGAAGACACAGCCAACCACAACTGAAGTAACTAATTAGAAGTGAAACATGAGAGTCTAGAATTGAAAAGAAACCTCCCTGACATGTCTGAGAAATCCCAGTTAAAGCATGAAGGGGGAGTGGGGGAGAGGAAAGTGGATTTAATTTGCAC